ACTAGTGGATAATAGAAAGGGCCTAAGATCACTGAAACCAAGGAAAACCTGACCTAAAGATAAGAGAAAGAAGAACTAAGAACAAGGAATAAATAATACAAAACATGTTGAAGAAAACAGATAACCAGGAGGAGCAAAACTAACGATACAAAAATGATGAATGAAACAAAGCAAACTAAGAAACCAAAAAAATTAAAACTTAAACAGAAACAAAAGTTCCAAAAATCATAACATTAAATCAGAAATGTATGGTTATATTTTGTCTGGATCTCTAAATACTGACAGATATGATATAATATGCTAATATAATTGATCTGAAACATGAAGATAATCAATGGCCTCTTTAATAAAAGATGATCTACAGTGATGGTGTGAGGATGGCCCTCCTGCTGCGCAGTGAGTGGGTTAATGATGGGGAGCCAGTTCTCTGATGATGATGATGTTTGGAGCTGGGTGAGCGCTCTGCTTTGCTGCAGTCTGTTCTGATCCCGATAGCCTGGAGCAACATCATAACCCAGTCACAGCTTTTGATCTGTAATCTGTAATTGTGAGATTCAGCTCCTTCACACGAAGCAACGCCAAAGCCGGTTTGTGTCCTGATGGATGATGAGTCTCCCCAAGGCTTCCCCTTCATCTTATGCATGTTGTCATGTTGGCTGCCTCCTAGCCCTCTAAGGGAGTAATGACCTGTCCCTGCCTGAGTGCTTTTATTGAAATAGAGCACCACACTCATGGAAATCAGGGCATCTCAGGAATACGTCCAATTAATAATCCAAGTTTGCAGCTCTTATGTTGATATGTCTATAAAACCGGCTTTATTTATTGTGATATTTTGATAAGGAGCTGGAACTAACCAAAAGCCATTAATCTGTTATTTTTAGCTTTCATCTGGAAATACTACAGTAAGATTAGAACTAATGCTGGCAGTAATGACACACAGTTACATGGACAGTAAAATTAGTTTTGCTTTGATGTGCAAATCTGACAAAAAATAAGAAGGTGTCTCTGGTAAATGAGATCCTGGATCCCAAAAACACAACCTATTAGACAAAGGTGAAATGAAAGACAATGTTGGACTCCCTCAGTTTGGTTCTGGTTGTCTTGGTGGGATCCTGAAAACGATTTGGGCTACACTGATAATTGGCAAGTTGTTTTGGAAACCTGGTCTGATTCCAGTGGCATATTGGGCTGGGCAATATGAAGAAAATCTAATATCACGATGCATTTGGGCTATATCGCGATAAACAATATGTTTAAATTACCTTCAAAACAATAGAGTGTATAAAATTGCTATGATATACTCATTCAAACTGTTGGTTTCAAATTTTATTTTATTTTATTTTATTTTAACCAGCTCAAAGCTTTTCTGCCACATGAGGCCTTTGGCAGTCAGTATTAGACCTTTAACAAGATCCCAGCAACCAAACAGGAACAAAGCAAAAACTTATACTAAATAAAATTCAAAATAAAAAAGGGCTCTGTTCTGCATAATAAAAAAAAGAGAAATAATCAAAAAGAATGAACTTAAATTACAAAACCCAAAGTGTAAAAGCCGTCCAAACATTAGAGCATTATAGGAGCATCTCCAATCTATTTGTACTGATCTTCCCATGCTGGGAATTTTAAAGAACAAAAAGTTTTAAATTTGACAACATTGCAAAGTTTAGAGAACGCCTGCAAAACCTCTGAACGTCACATCACAGGTATTAGAGGATCTAAAAAACATTTAAATAACGTTATAAATAGCGTCTGTGATTTCCCTCCATATCTTCCTGTTTCTCTCATATGGGATCGCTTTTACAAACAACGAGGCAAACGCCATCGGCTTCACAGCTGATTTAGTGAACGTTTTAATTGGTGTGTGGCGAGACGCTGACATGCAGAGTTTATAGCATTCTTCATTTTGCAGCGGATGACTTTTGGTGGTGGAATAAATTTGTACAGCTACCTTTTGCAGCAATGGTTTTTGGTCTTACAAGTTAGCGCCTTTTGTCCGATGTCCTCAGCGTGAAATCCAAACCACTGCTGTATATTCCTCTGCTGTCGCCATATTGTGTTTGCTGGTTGCTGTAGTGTGAATCCGTGCAGCGCAGAAAATAATCCTGTTTGGAGAAGGGGTTTATGATGCATTCAAAGTGTAGGAAAAATAAAACTCTCAGTGAAATAGATGCAGACGGCTTAATGTCGTCATGCCAATTTGGACTGGATGCCTGTGATAGAGTCAGTTTAACTGTCCTGCATGGCAAAACTTGAGATACATGAAGTATGTTTGCTATATCACCACTAGTTACCAGTTGTGAGGCTGCTTGGCTTTACTCCCAAATTCTCTGAATCACCTTTGGAGACGGCTTATGGTAGAGAAATGAAGATTCAACACACAAGCAACAGCTCTGCCTTACATTCCTGCTGTCAGCATGCCAACTGCATGCTCCCTCAAATCTCGCAACATCTGTGACATTGTGCTGTGTGATAGAACTGCACCTTTCAGAGTGGCCTTTTATTGTGGGCAGTCTAAGGCACACCTGTGAGGTGGGATGGATTGTCTAAACAAAGGAGTAGTGCTCACTTTCACAGATTTAGACTGAAATATACCCCTCAATAATATTTGAGGGGTTATATCATATATGTGGAAAAAATGTTAGATCCTTGAGTTCTCATTAAAATTTGAGCAAAACCAAAAGTGATGCATTTATATTTTTGTTGAGAGTACCTGTACCTTTTCTCACATAGGAAATACTGGATTAGTGCTTCTATGTTCCTCTTAGCCTCTTCTGTCTGCTTAAACCCTCAATCGGCCTTAGCAAAATGCCGCTCACACTGAGCCTGGTTCTGCTTCTTCCTCAGGCTTCTTCCTATTAGTGTTGAGTTTTTCCTCTCCATTGTTGCTGCATGGTTTCAGAACTGTGGACCCAGAATTTTAGGCAGACAAATTGATGTAATTTACAGAAGCATTTATTAACAACATGTTAAATCTGCAACTCAGCAGCTTGGAAGAAAAAGTCTGGAACCTCTGTAGAGGGGAAAACTCAGGTTAGTGACCACGTAGATCTGATGGAGGACGATTATGAGCTTGAGAGTCACTAACCTGGTTTTAAAGTTCAGTCTGAGCCAAGAAGAAGGAGTGGAATCCAGCCGGATGGTTTCACACAGTGGAAGCCGCCCAGATAGTTCCAGGAGCCGAAGCCCAGAAGGCTGCTGGACTGGCTGATGAACAAAAACAAGCAGACGAGGGAAAGCAGGAGTTTCCAGAAGGCGAAGCCAAAGCTGGTATAAATGAGGTAAACGGGAGTCCAGGCCATTTACCTCATTGATACTCATCCAGAGATTTGAAGAGATACCGAAGAGAAATCCAAGTCAGGGTCAGGAGACAGATCCAGGGTCGAAAGCAAGCAGAATCCAGCAGGAGTCCGAAGACAGGTCAGGCAAACAGATCCGAACAGGGACAGGAAGGCTCCGAGCCCTAAGGGAAGAACTATTCAGGATCAGACAATCAGAACAAGACACTGGGTACGCTAGAGAACTCTCACCAAAGGCTTGAATAATCAGGCACTGATGACTGGGAGGAAGCAGCTTAAATAGAGGCAGGGGCAGGTGGATGAGATGAACAGTAATGAGAAACTGGGTGGAGGTGAATAGAATGAACCATTAACCCAGTCATCAGAGCCAAGATCATGACCCATGCATGCTTGGTTGAGGAACTTCTGTAGTCAAAAAGAAAATCTGACTATATACATATATATACATGCACATACATATACCACACAAGATCCAGGAGGAGCAAGTCCTGCAACTCAATGACACGATACAGTCTGTAGGCTGTTGTCAGAAAACTTTTTACCAGTCTGACTGAATGATCTGGTTTCATTTTCTCTCTAAAGTGAACTGAGATGACATGTGTTGTAAATTATTGGAATTATATGAAATTAATGTATTTTCTCTTGCCTTTTCTTTTTATAAATTTTCCTTTTATTGATCCTTCTGCCCTCTTCCCTTCTGGGATTTTCCTCCATAAATCTACCCCGACTGTCTTTACTCCTCACCTTGATTTCCTTTCTGCTTCCGGCTGTTGCCTTCTCTCCCCTCCAGGCCGGGCCACTCTGCATGGCAAGTCGTCCCTGCAGATAGATGGCGTGCGTTCAGACGACCAAGGCTGGTACGAGTGTAAGGTGCTGCTGCTGGAGCATCAGTTGGACACCTTCCACAACGGCAGCTGGGTGCATCTAACCGTCAATGGTAAGAACATCGGCAATCAAGCATTTTTTAAACTCCACAGTCTGAAGATGAAGGAAACTTTGATATTTAAGGATTATTTGCTTCTTTTCATTGTCTCTGTACTATTATTTGAAGGAGGGATGTTTGTTAAGAAATAATTTGTATTATTTATCAATGAACAATGAATTGATAAGCGGACATTTAAAAAAAAAAACTTAAGTTGGAGTTTATTTTGTATCAGAAAGTCTTTCCATAACAGGAACAGTTTTTTCTTTCCTGTATGCTAAATTTTAAAAAGGAGCACTTCCTTATATTTAAACCGTTTACAAATTACAGCTACATTAAATGAACTATCCATTATCCTGGACAAATCGCAGCCATACAGAGGAGAACAGTTTAGTTTGAACATTCAGATGTTTTTCCTCTGAGTGATCCATAGTTCTCCTTACCTTCAAGATGCAAAAGACTGAACAGCTTCAAGCTTGTGCACAATCATCAGGAGAACATTTTCATGTCTCTAAGAGAAGTTAACAAACCGTTACCGGTCCAGAAGAACTGAAAACTGAAAGCCCTCTGTTAGCTTCAGGTTGGTCTTCTCGTCCGCTGTTATTCTGCTTTTAAGCTCTTTAGCAGCCTGTGTCTGCAGTGACAAGAAGACACAGGCAACCTTCACTGCACTGGAAAAAAAATCTAAATCCAGATAAGTCATGGGCTGCTCAGTGGAACAGTGGGTAGCGCTGCTGCCTTGCAGCAAGAAGGTTCTGGTCTCAATTCCCGGCATGGAGTTTGCATGTTCTCTCTGAGCATGCGGGGGTTCTCTCCGGCTACTCCAGCTTCCTCCCACAGTCCAAAAACATGACTGTTGGTTTCTCTAGAGTCCCCTTAGGTGTCAGTGTGCGTGTGAATGGTTGTTTGTCCCTCCAGGGTGGACCCCGCCTCTCGTCCATTGACAGCTGGAGATAGAAACCAGCGCGCGACCTGGAATAAAAAAATTTCATTCTTGAATTGAGGAGGTATGATGATTTACATTTAAAATAAGAAAAATACAATTGCATTGCTTTATTTTAAGAGCATATTATCTAATTATCTTTTTTTAAGAGTGAAATTAGTCATTCCACTGGCAGATCATCAGAATGAGCTGTTAAAATTGAAAGTAAATAAAGTTGATTTAAGAGATTTTGACTCATTTCTAGATGGTTTTTGTGCAGTGTTGTGCTCCATCAGCCATGGTGTTCTAAGGGTTCCCCCAGAAAACAGGCTAGCATCATTGCTAGGTGTTATGTGGTTAATCTGACAGCAATGCAGCGTGATTATGTTAAAACAATGCAAAAAAGGAAATGTTAAATGTTCATATTTAATATATAATACTGTAAAAATGGATGGCAATATAGCTTCCACTCATTCCACCCTACACACCAACTATGGAGTCCTAGAAGCACACTTTAGAAAATACTGTCCTAAAATAACTAAATCATGTGTGAAATAAATGTTGTTTGTACTGATGTTGAATTCTGATTGATTAATCGGCCATTGAATCTGAAAATAAGCAATGTGATAGTGGTAAAGATGGCAATTAAAATCAATTATTACACATAAAATTTGATGAAAGAACCATCAATATGATCAGTGAAAGTCCACAACATTAAAAGTAACCAGTTACTGTCTCACGCTCCATCTTATTCACAACTTCAGTGATAGAAAAATATAGAACATAAAACACTTTATAGATATTTAATTTTAATGATGGTAATATATTTACATTTCTGCTCATTTCTACTAAAAAAGCCTAAAGTACCTTAAATGGTCAAGCAAATAGTCATTTATTTCTGGGAATTTATTCCCATTTTTCTACACACCTTTCATTAGATACATTACTTTATCTGACAGATCTAGTCAAAGTGATGCATAACTGTGATGTGGAAGGAAAAGTATTTAAGGGTTTTAAAGATCTCCATCCCATATGTTGCTGGAGTCTCTGAGAAACTCAGGAGGTTTTCTTTAAGCACAAAATCCCAGAATATTTCAAACCCAACAGACCCTTAAACAGAGACTAGTTAATCCTAAAGATAAAACCCCCAGACCTAATCTGCACGGAGTGGTGTCTGCAGTTTAATGCAGTGAGGAATGCTCTGCTCTTCATATTGGAGAAATCAAACAACCTCTCCACAGACGCATGGCCCAACACAGAAGAACGCCCTCCTCTGGACAAGACTCTGCGGTACATCTACAGCTTATAGACAAAGGACCTTCTTTTGAGGACAAATGTTCACATTTTGGACAAAGAAGACAGGTGGTTTGAGAGGGATGTGAAGGAAGCCATCGATGTTAAGAAAGAAAAACCAACCTTAAACGGGTCGGGGGGGGGGACTCAGATTTCAGCTTTAAAAAAACCTAAAATGTAGTGATTGAGTTGATTCCTTCCTGCTATCATTTCAACCCCACACCCCCATGCAGGACACAAAACATCTTGCCTGGGCAGCAAAGCCAACAATTGCCCCTAACAACCCCCCTTTCAGAGGCATAACCCAGGATCGGTATTGCAGGCTAACAAAGAAGCCAAAACGACTCCACATTACCTAAGGGGCAGACTTGTTCTTCAAAATCAAGACAAGTTCTTCGAAATCAACGCTAATTCCGACATTTTGAATTGAAAAAGCTTCCTGGATGGAAGAGAAACGTGTTCAAACTTGGAAAGTCCATTGGATTGATTTTTTTTACCTTTTTGGAGTGACTCTGACCTGGATGACTGAGAATCTTCACCAGCACAACAGTTTTAAAGGTTTTCTGGTAGAAGTTTAATGTTTGGTAAAACTTGTATAAATAAGACCAAATAAAATCCAGTTCATCCATCTGGGCTCCGTTAAAGGATAGAACGCAATGGAGATGATTTACCACCCCAAAAACTGAATCATTAACTGAATCACAATTATATCAATGAAAGGAAGATGAGCCAGACTGCTGACGATTCTCTCGGGTACCTCAGAGGAAACCCCCTGGTCTAATTTAGTTGGACTTTCTCAGAAATGTGTTGGAAATGTCATGAATCTGACAGGAAGAGAAACACAGCAACAAACTAAAACATTAGCTTTGGGCAATGCAAAGAAAAATCTCTGAATCATCAGATACGGCAGCCAGGTTCGCCCCATTTGGAAACACATGGAGCAGAAAAAGGAAGCGGGGCAGACTGAGCCATACATAATCAATAAAACATTTCAGTAAACAGCCTACTTTACCCATGATAGAGGCTATAGAGATGAGAAACAAAGGGAAAAAGTAATCCTCTTTGAGCTTGTTTAGGCAGAAAATACACGTTTACAGCTTGTTTGTGATGGGGGAGTTTCTGGGACGTTCTTGCCTGTAAATATTTGATCTGAGGTGGACGGTGGTTCCTAAAAGAAGCCTCTATGCAGCCAGTAAGACGGCAAAAAAGCTGCATTAAAGCCTGCAGAATCTTAGCAACCAGTCGTGTTAAGCTTGTTCCAGCAGAGCAGCTGCATCACACCAAATCAAGCCAGGTTTTATTTTCATTTTCCTAAACAGCTATGACTTGTTTGTGTTTGATTTGTAACAAAAAATCCCAATAAACTGTAAAGTTTGTGTTTTCTGTGTGAAAACAAGTGGATGGAATATGAATATTAAAGCACTTTAACACTTCAGAGTAATGCTTCCTGTCTCCCAGCAGACGGATGTTGAACCGTCCCCTGGAAGAAGTGGGCGGAGTTGGAAATCCAATAGTTTTAGTCTGGAAACCTGTTTCCAAAACGCTGCTTCCTGCCCTCATCTGCTGACTCATGCTGGACTTCAGCTCCAGATTTTCTTCCCTTAATTTTCTTTCCAAAAACTCCATCATACGTCAGGCACCATGCTAGGACTCTGGTTGCCATGGTGACAGCTGTCATCCTGTATACTGTGATGGAGTTTCTCCCTGAGATCAGCCTATTTTGGAGAGGTTTCTCCACATGCTGCAGGAAACGCCTCAGAAACATGCAGTCTGTTCTCAGTCTGGTTGTGAAACGTGACGCGGTCAGGAATGCATTTTATGCTGACAGGTCTGCCTTCCATGTTTTTAGATAAATGTTTTATGTAGTTAAGCTGTTAAAGCCAAAGATGTTCATTTCAATTCAGTTTTTTTTCTATAGCGCTGATTCACATCAGCTGAGGCCGACTGGGGTTCAAGGAGACAGAAGCAGACATAGAAAAAGAAGCAGAGAATTAAAAGAGAGTACAACCAGCTCCACAGGCGGCCCCATCCAGGAAACAAACAGCCAGGCAGACGAGC